GGAGTCTGATGGCGGAGGGAAAGAAAGAGTTTTTCAGTCTAGTGGTCCTGCATTTCACACTTCTGAACCTCCGGCCAGAGGGCAGAGAAGTGAACAGTCCGTGCTGGGGGTGGGTGGGATCTTTGAGGATGGAGGCAGCTTTCCTACGCACCCTGCGGTGGTAAATGCTCTGCAGAGAGGGCAGTGGAGTCCTAGTGATCTTCTCAACAGTCTTTACCACTCTCTGCAGGCGCTTGCGGTCCATAGCAGTAGTGCTGCCATACCAGACAATGATGCAGCTGGTCAAGATGCTCTCAATGATGCAGCTGTAGAAGTTGCAAAGGATTCTAGGCGACATGCCAAACCTCCTCAGGAAGTACAGCCGCCATTGGGCCTTCTTGACCAGCTGTGTGGTGTTAAGTGTCCAAGTGAGGTCCTCACTGATGTGGACGCCCAGGTATTTGAAGCTGCTCACCCTCTCCACTTCGAGCCCCCGGATGAACAGTGCCGATGACTTCTCCTCTCCTTCCTCATGTCCACTATCATCTCCTTCGTCTTGTCCGTGTTGAGGCTATTTAGCTTTATTCTGAAAATTCTGCACCATTCAAATGAATGAAAAAATTCTCCTTCAGCATGCTTTCAGCTATTTCATGTTCAGCTCCTCAAGGACATTCATGCTTCTATTCAGACATTTTCTCAACTTCATACTTTTGAAATATGTAGCTTTATTTTGAAAGTTACGCACCATTCAAATGAATAGGACAATTCTACCTCTGCATACTTTGGACTATTTCAGGTATCAACATGTTCAGCTCCACAAGGACATTCATGCTTCTATTCAGAATGTTTCTAAACTTCATACTTTTGAAATATGTAGCTTTATTTTGAAAGTTTTCTGTGATTCAAATGAATGGGGAAATTCTAGCTCAGAATACTTTCAGCTTTTAAAATGTTCAGCTCTTCCAGGACATTCATGCTTCTATTCAGAACCTTTCTAAACTCCATATTTCTTCAATATGTAGCTTTATTGTGAAAGTTTTGCACCATTCAAAAGAATGGGGAAATTCAACTTCAGCATACTTTCAGCTAGCAAAACCATTCAGGTGTCAAAGTCTTCAGCATATTCAGGGCGATCTTTCAGCAATTCGCATCCACACGCATTTTCGACAGGAAATGCAGTTTTCTAGTTTTGATTTCTTCCATATGTTTTTCGGCGCTTAATTCCTTCAGCATACTTTCAGCTACAGAAGTCTTTCAGGTATCAAAATGTTCAGCTTATTAAGGACATGTGTGCGTGTATTTTTCTTGTTTGTAACATTTATACTTTTTCAAATATTTACCATTTTTCAGCTAATTTTGCCCCATTCAAATGAATGGAAAAATTTTCACATCTTAATAACTTCAGCATACCTTCAGCTAAAAACACCATTTCAACTGTTACCTATTCAGCAACTCTTTAGCTATTCATAATGCACACAGCTTTTTGATATCTTTTACAGTTTTTGCATAATTACTGTTTACATTTTATGCTTCATTTCAATAGCCACACCCTAGTAGTCCTCAGGGTGTAGGACTACTCTCACCCACACCAACCTACACACCTCAACACACACACTTACACACCTCAACACACACACGTACTTGTTTTACCTACTTTTTGGGGACTAATGGGAAAATATTCACATGTTAAGTTCAGCATACTTTCAGATAGAAAAGCCATTCAGGTATCAAAATGTTCTTCTTATTAAGTATGTGTGCTTGTATTTTTCACATTTGTAACATTTATAGTTTTTATAATATCCAGCTTTTTTCAGCAAATTTTGCTCCATTCAAATGAATGGGCAAAATATTCACATCTTAATAACTTCAGCATACCTTCAGCTAAAAACACAATTTCAACTAATGACTAGGCAGCAACTCTTCAGCTATTCATACTATAAACAGCTTTTTGATATATTTTATTTTGCATAATTGTGTGGATGCTGATTCATATCTTAACACTGATTCAGCATCCATACTATGTTCTCCATCTATTGTATGGATGCTGGTTCAACATCCATACTATGTTTTCCAATTATTTATTATTAGTGTCGATGCGAAGCAACCACACTCTTGTTTTCCAAGTCTTATTATAGTTTCTTCCGTACGTTTTTTGCCGCTCATCTCCTCTCACATGCTTTAGCTAGACAACCCATTCTGGTATCAAACTGTTCAGCTTTTTAAGAACATTATGGCGTGTACTCAACTTTTTTTAATAACTTTCATATTTTCATAAATTTAGCTTTTTTCATAAAAATTTTCCTATTGGAAATGAATGGGAAAAAGTTTTAACCTTAATATCTCCGGCATACCTTAATTTTTATACTTTTTATTAAATTCAGCTTTTTTCACAAAAATATTTTCCCAATCAAATGAATGGGAAAGTCTTGAAAGCCTCATCCTCTTTGAACATTAATATCTCCGGCATACCTTGGGCTAGAAACGCCATTTCAACTTTATTCAACTCGTGAGAAGTTCAGCTACCAATGGTGCAACAATCATCGTGATATCTTTTTTTTTATAATTGACATTTGGATTTTGTCTCTTTTTCCATAGGAATGAATGGGCCAATGCAATCCCAGTGGCACATTCTGAGTCACGTGATTCCCCGCTCTAGCTGGTCTGTCTGTGTTTTTCCTTTTCCTCCTTGCTGCTTTTCTGCTCCTATTATGCCATCTTTAAGCTTTATACACATATAATAGATGAAACTCGTAGAGAAAATTGTCACAAATCTAACTGTGTCATTGTTATTGCAATGGGATGGACGGTATTTGCGTAAGTCGCACATTCCAGAGCGTACCATCTCACTGCTCCATAGACTTGCAGTCAAAAAGACACTGAAGGGAAATCGTCAGGGTATTTATAAATCACCACCGTTCCTTCATTTTGTTTAATATGTTCACATAATATAACAGTGGAATAACAACAGGGTGCTGTATATGTATGAAACTGAATGCAGATGTCACGTTTGCTCGTTGCTGCCTTTCTCGCTCTCTCGCTCCCTGTCTCTCTCTGCAGATGCTCCCAGCGGAGCTCACAGCTGATTATCATCAGCTGGACATTTAGGAGCAGCTCAGATGGGCTGACACCGCCAGTTCACTCGATCCTGCTAGCAGCTTGGCAGCAGAAAACGCTATGATCTACTGTTTACCTCTTCCCTACAACGATGCTACTGTAACGAGCTTGAGCCTTCCAGCTACGCTATTTCCCATAGTGTTTATAGTCTTATAAACAGCAGTCTATAAAACAAAAAATGCTTGAACCTTGGACAGTAATTGCATACCTTGAGCACTGCCAGAGGGCAGGAAACCATTTTTAGTTCAGTTTGACATAACCTCTAGAGTCCTGAGCTTTGGAAACCCAAGCTGTGCGGTCCTCATATGAGGACGCAGGGACTCTAGAGGTTAATAAAGACACATTCTGGAAAGTTCCACTTTGAAGTGGAGGGATGACAGAAGACTGATGAAAAACGTTAATGTAAATACCATTGTAGTTTTATTACAAAAGACAGAACACAGCAACAACAGTGTCAAATCTGAATAGATAAATAAACACAATTAAAACAAATTTACTATTGTTTACAAATAAATAGCACTGACCAGCAGGAAGTACACATTTCTCTATGCAGTCCAGATGGGTCCAATTTTGATTGATAGTTAAGATTGTGTTGCAGTTTCAAATCATAATGGTTGTATTTTCAATGTTAGAAGCAATGTGAATTTCCTAAACCCTTGTATATTTGTGTATAGTCTTATATTCAAAATCAACACAATTCTGGTAGTCTACTGAGATGATGCCTCTGGCTCTGTAGTATTGTAGGTGTCAATCAGTCAGATCCAGCAATGCTGTGTCTGCAGACAGGCAACTTCCACTCCAAATAAATTCAGGTTCTCCTTATTGCTGTGTGTGTGTTTTTGATTTAAGATTACAACAGCAAAATACATACACTGAGTTTTTCAAATGGTATGCTATAAACAGCAGTCTATAAAACAAAAAATGCTTGAACCTTGGACAGTAATTGCATACCTTGAGCACTGCCAGAGGGCAGGAAACCATTTTTAGTTCAGTTTGACTTAATAAAGACACATTCTGGAAAGTTCCACTTTGAAGTGGAGGGATGACAGAAGACTGATGAAAAACGTTAATGTAAATACCATTGAATAACAACGTGCCATATTCGGCCCAGATTAAAAGTGCCTCAACAATGCTGTTACAATTGTACAAATAACATTTATTTTGAATTGAATAACTTGTTCTAAATAACATATATTAAATGAAAAATCAAATTAAATTACCAAACGTCAAATTCAAAAAAATTTAACTGTAAACTGAAAACTGAAACATCCAATTTTGATTGATAGTTAAGATTGTGTTGCAGTTTCAAATCATAATGGTTGTATTTTCAATGTTAGAAGCAATGTGAATTTCCTAAACCCTTGTATATTTGTGTATAGTCTTATATTCAAAATCAACACAATTCTGGTAGTCTACTGAGATGATGCCTCTGGCTCTGTAGTATTGTAGGTGTCAATCAGTCAGATCCAGCAATGCTGTGTCTGCAGACAGGCAACTTCCACTCCAAATAAATTCAGGTTCTCCTTATTGCTGTGTGTGTGTTTTTGATTTAAGATTACAACAGCAAAATACATACACTGAGTTTTTCAAATGGTATGCATGAATACAGATATTTGATGTCAGAACAAACCTTTAAGTACAAACCTGGAATGACCAACAGCATTTGCCAGCTTTGGCAAACCAGGTTTGGGCCACTAAAGGGCCGTCATTCTTTGTGGTATGTTGGCTGAGTATAAGTGCTTGTTTTTGCACTGGCACCGGATGTTAGTCTAATGTATACCTTAATCAAGCCATGTAATAATGACATGTGCCGTATTCAGCCCAGATTAAAAGTGCCTCAACAATGCTGATACAATTATACAAATAACATTTATTTTGAATTGAATAACTTGTCCTAAATACATATATTAAATGAAAAATCTAATTAAATTAGCAAACATCAAATTCAAAAAAATTTAACTGTAAACTGAAAACT